AACAACATATATCTAATATATTTATATTATATTACAGGTTGGCCCAGGATCAGGCAGTGTTTTGTTCTGCTGTGCATAAGGTTGCTATGGGTCAGTATCAACTCGATGGCACCTAACAACAACAACAATATTATATTGATAATGTATTATATATTGGCATTATAGATATACTATAATACAATACATAGATAGTATTTATTATATTATGTATATATTATATATATATTGGCATCAAGTGTTACACACAGTTTTTGTGAGTCCTGGTGTGGCATTGTGGTTAATGCATTGGACTACAAAGTCAGCTTGAACTGCAAGGGTCAGTAGTTCAAGCTCACCAGCAGCTTCTTAGAAACCCTATACAGGGTCGCTGTGGGTGGGAACTGACTCAGCAATACTTAACAACAGCAACAACAATGGAGTTCACATCTGATGAAGGGAATAGTTAGTCCTTTGTTGTTCAATGTTGTCAAGTCAGTTCCTACCCATAGTGACCCTGTATATATATTTTCAAGGAGCAGCTGGAGGGTTTGAACTGCAGACCTTTTGGTTCAGACTCACCTTTTGGTCTAGCGCTTACCCTACAGTGCCACACCAGAATTCACACACTTTAGTCTATTCTAGGCTATTGGTTTCTTCCAGAATTTTCTTTGAAATAGTTCACATGCAGAACCCTCTAATCCCAGATTCTTTTCACTGTGAACTTTTTTTTTGATAATCTAAGCAATTCAGCTCCTGACCAGCCTCCTAGTTTCCTGAAATACCCACAGCCTGCCATTTGTCACTAGCCTAGTTGTCCCTGTATGTCACTGCCTAAGGACACAGATGTACAGCTGTGTCCTCCCCTCCCAGATGATATAAATTATATTTTTGTTGTTGGTAAATGCATAGTTAAATTCCCAGTTGACACATATTTAGAATAGGAACTGTCTTTTTACTCTGGACCATACTAATTTAATGATAGAAAGGATGCACCGAAACCCATGTCAATACAAGGGAACCTCTAAAACCTTGTGGAAAACATGGAATTAAAAGATAATGAAATTCCAAGAAACTTCTGGAACCCCCTCATACTTGGCCCTCTTAAAAGAACAGAGGAGCAGACTCAGAGAACTCAGAATTCCATGTCCTCCAGGGCAATTTGTGTATATTTTTTAGATTCTTCTTTAAAAAACATAGCCAGTCATTGTAAAGAACATGGAACAAAGGTAATGATGGATAATGAGGTAATGACTTCTGGAAAAGTCTTGTCTGCCAGTCTCTGGAGTGGCAGGAAACTGGAGTGATCAAGCTAATTCCAGCGTCTGTCTCAGCAGAGACAAAAGAGGCCCACCGATGGAAGAGAGAGAGTGGAATGGATAGAGAGCCAGCTAGACCTGAGCTGCCGAGACTTGAGCGGTAGGAGCTCATGGGGATCTTCCTGTGGGAGTTGTATACCTTGGTCTTTCTGCACCCAGGCTAGTGACAAACAGCAGACTGTTGGCATTGCAGGAGACTAGGAGGCTGGTCAGGAGCTCCCTTTGACCACATGACTAGAAGTGCTTGAGTCATCAAAGAAAAGCTCACAATGAAAATAATCTGGAATTAGAGGGTTTTACATGTGAACTACTTTAAACAAAATTCTGAAAGAATTCAGTAGCCTGGAATAAGTGAATTCTAAAGGGCAGGAATAACCAAGATGGCAAATAGAATCTATAGGCAAACAATCCTCTCATCAGACATGAACTACACCCAGATCATGTAAACTGTGTGCGACATTTGAAGCCAGCCCTACTTGGACCGGGTCATAACAAAGGTTGTGAGGACACCCCTCTATCGCAGTGGCTGTGACAGACAGAAAATCGTTCTCATCCAGCTGAATTGTGAGTTGAGGAAAGATGGGAATTGCTACAGTTGTTATGGGCACGGCTGGTATTTGAATCTCACAGGTCAGGGATCCTTATTTCCCACTACGAAAGTCCAGGGCAGATACAATAGTGGGAGAGTCCTAGAGAGAAGGATTTCTATGTGTCAACTCCAATTGCAGTCTAAGACAGAGCTCAGTGGGCAGGAGGAGGGAAGGGCTCAGGGAAACATGTGTCTATCTGCACAGAGATGATAGCATTCTCCAGGTCTGAAGAAGACCTGAGCTGTGAATGGAAATGGTGGTCATGAGATTAGCAGTGTTAGCCAGACCACCATCTGACCTTGATTCTAAAAGATGGGCTATATGAACTAGAGTCACACACTCTAAGCTTCATTATTGTCATCTGTCAAATGGCCTAAAGGAAGAATAAATACCATTAAACTTGTACATATTCAGAGTTCAGCGAAGGCTATTCATTATGAGACCACGATGTTAGGGAGAATCTAAGTCATTAGAACATTGTTTTTGTTAAATGCTCTTGAGTTGGTTCAGATCCATAGCGATCCTGTATAGGGTTTCCAAGTAGCAGCTGG